TCTTGGGATAGGGATTGACTGGGAAAGAGTTAAGAAGGTTGATGGAAATAATTTGTGTTTTTGATTCACATTCAGTCAAAACTGATTACAGCTTCAAGGGTTCCTTTAAGGTCTGAGCATTTCACTGCATGTAAATTTTTGTTTTTGTTTTGATTCTGGGAATTGAACCCTGGGTGCTTTACCATTGAGCTACATCCCCAGCCTGCTTGCCCCTCCCTCCCTCCCTCCCTTTCTTCCTTCCTTCCCTTCTTCTCTCCTTCCTTCCTTTTCTTTTTCTTTTTTTCCTTTTCTGGTGCTAGGAATTGATCCTAAGGGCACTTTATCACTGAGCTATATTCCCAGCCCTTATGTAAACATGTTTTTGAGACAGGGTCTCACTAAATTGCTGAGGCTGTTTTTGAATTTGCGATCCTCCAGCCTCAGCCTACTGAGTGGGATTACAGGAGTGTACCACCATGCCTGACTCCCTGCATGTAAATTTTACCTTGATTTAAAAAATAGCAAGGATTTTGATAACTACATATGAGGGCATGTATGGATAAGGTAAATTTATGCAAAATGTCTAAAATATGCGCAGAGGTGATTCCAATGCAAAATCATTCACAGTGGCCTCCATCTATTTTGTGTCTATGGATTTGACCAACTGTAGATTGAAAATATTAGAAAAAAAATCCTGTTTGTACTGAACATTAGATTTTTTTCCTTGTCATTATTAGTTTTTTTGGGGGGATACCAGGGGTTGAACTTGGGGACACTCACCCACTCATGCACTGAGCCACATCCCCAGCCCTATTTTGTATTTTATTTAGAGACAGGGTCTTACTGAGTTGCTTAGTACTTTGCTAAGTTGCTGAGGCTGGCTTTGAACTTGTGACCCTCCTGCCTCAGCTTCCCGAGATGCTGGGATTTCAGGTATGTGCCACCATGCTCTGCTGTCATTATTTCTTAAACAATACAACTAACAGCTATTTATACAGCATTTACATTGTATTAGGTTCTATTATTTATTTATTTAGGTACCGGGAGTTGAATCCAGGGATGTTTTACCACTGAGTTATTCTCCAGACTTTGAGACAGGGTCTCCAGTTGCTTAAAACCTCACTAAATATCTGAGGTTGGCCTCAAATTTGTGATTATTCTACCTCAGCCTCCTAAATCAATGGGATTACAGGTGTGCAACACCACATCTGGCTATATTAGGTAATCTAGAGATGACTTAAATCCCGTGGGAGGATGCTCAAAAGTCATTTGCAAATACTGCCTATGCCCCCAGCTTTTTTTGAACCCAGGATTGAAACCAGGGGCACTTAACCGCTGAATCACATCCACCTTTTTTTTTTTTAGTTGTTGATGGATGTCTATTTTATTTACATGCAGTGCTGAGAATCGAACCCAGTGCCTCACACATGCTAGGCAAGCACTCTACCATGGAGCTACAACCCCAGCTCCCAAACTCTTTTTGAGACAAGTTCTTGTTAAGTTGCTTAGGGCCTTGCTAAGTTGCTGACACTGGCTTTGAACTTGCAATCCTCCTGCCTCAGCACCCTAGCCACTGGGATTACAGGTGTGCACCACTGTGCCCGGCACTACCTATGCCCTTTTATAGAAGGGTTTGAATATCTGAGGCTTTTGGTGTGTGTGTGGTGGGTGCTGGAATCCCCAAAGATAGCAAGGTCACAACTGTAGATATAGGTTGTAGCCCTTTTAATAGCCACACGACTTCTACCTTTGTCTCTCACTGTCAATGTTCAGACAGAGCCTTCCTGTTGAAACTTAAGTCAGATCATGTCACCCTGGGATGAAAAGCTCTCCACTGCCATGGGCAGGTCCCATCCATGGCCCTGCTGCTCCCTTCCTGACCCATCCTGCAGTCCCCTTTGCTCATTCCAATGCACCACTTGGGCTCAGGTCTGCATTGGCTGTAGCCTTTTACCTCTTTTCAAGAATAGCCTGCCATGCTCTCTCCTGCCCCCAGCTCAGGACTCAACTGTCTCCTTCTCCTTTGCTGACAGCTCCTTTTCAACCTGCAACCTCCACCCCCCCCACACACACACACTTGGCTTCTCTTTCATTATTTCTTTGTTTATTGCTGGTAGCTGCCCTTCCCTGATGTGTGTCAAATCCAGACACAATATCTGGCATCAGGTGCTTGATAAACAAATGTCGGAGGAATGAATAATGATTTAGGAGGATAAGAAGAAAGGAGACTAAAGAAGACACAAAACCAACAAGAGTTACTAAAGATTCTACCCGTAATAAAATACAGTGTGATCTCAGGTGCCCCATTATTTTCTCCAAGGACTCTGGGCTCACAAGATATTTTCAACAGTGTGGCAGAAGTGTCCCAGGGAAAGGAGGGGAAGATGGAGTGGACACCATGTGTCAGGGGTTGGCAGGGGTCCAAGTTTGGCTGGGGTACCAGTTCTTTATTATTCCCCTGCTCATGTAGGGGCTGGATTCCTAGCCAACAAAATTAGATAGGACTGCACTTTGATAAGTGGGCAGATGAATCCCTGCGTGTGAGGGATGTGGGGATAAAGAGGTGAATTGCCCAAGGTTCAGTTACCAACCAGGAACGAGAAACGTTGGCTCCTCCGGAGGGAGGCTATTGTGTTGGAGGGAGGGGCATCTGAGTGGGCTATGTAGACTGACATCCCAGATGTGGGCTGAGATGAAAAGGATTATGTGATTAATGATTTTCTCCAACCTGTCAGCGTAGGTACTTTCTGGTTTTCTCAGTCATAGCTCCCTGTTTGTATGGTTCAGAGAATGTACTGAAATATGTAATTATCTTTTTCTTTTCTTGTTTATCAGACTCTAAACTCCAGGAGAGCAAAGATCTGGTTTCTCTCAGTCCCTGCTCTAGCCAGTCTAGCACAGTGGCTGACATATGTAGTGGGCATTCAATACATGTTTGTCAAATGAATGAACCCAGATAGAAGGAAACTTTTTTTGGAGGAGGGGGAATGCTGGGGATTGAACTCAGGGGCACTCAACCATTGAGCCACATCCCCAGCCCTATTTGGTATTTTATTTAGAGACAATGTCTCACTGAGTTGCTTAGTGCCTCACCATTGCTGAGGCTGGCTGTGAACTCGGGATCCTCCTGTCTCAGCCTCCTGAGCTGCTGGGATTACCGGCATGTGCCATAGAACCCGCTAGAAGGAAACATTTTGATGCCAGTGTTTCTTGTTGGGGGCTGGTGGGTGTGGAACTCTGATCCTTCCTGGATTTCTTTTCTTACTGTCTTTCTTTTTCCAGGTTGTTATGATTTGGATGTGAGGTGTCCCTCAAAAAATTACATGTGAGACAATGCAAGAAGGTTCAGAGGACAAATTATTGGGTTATGAAAGCCTTAAGACAGTCAATGAATTAGTCCCCTGATAGGGATTAACTGAGTGGAAACTGAAGGTGGGTAGAGTGTGGTTGGAGGAGGTGGCAGTGGGGGGTGTGGATTGGGGGATATATATGTTTTGTATCTAGTGAGTTGAGTCTCTCTGCTTCCTGATCATCATATGAGCTACTTCCCTCCACCACACTCTTCTACCATGATGTTCTGCCTCACTTGGAGCCCCAAGGAATGGAGCTGGTCTTCTACGGACTGATACTTCTGAAACTGTGAGCCCCCAAATAAACTCTTCCTCCTCTACAATTGCTCTGGTCAGATCTTTTAGTCACAGCAGTGAAAACGGTGACTAAAACACAGGCTGTGTCCAGGAAACCTGGCCCTAAGACACTAGAAGCCTCTGTCTTAAGCGTAGACCTTTAGCAACAGCCCTTGTTTGAGGCTCGGGCTCAGACTGGTAGTTACTGGGAGGGGGCACCTGGCATTCCCTAGCTTAGATAGGAGTATAGGTGTGAAGGATGGGTCACAGTTGGAATAACACATCTGGATCTAGGGCAAGGAGGGTGGGGTGGGCGTGTGAGTGCAGGTACCACGATAATCTGAGAAAAGAGAATAAATCCTCATCTGGGAAAAGTGCAGACCTTTTAGGAGACCTAACATTCGAGAAATAATTAAAAAGATAAATTCAACAGAGCCCGGCGATTGATTTGGTATTGCGAAGGAAATGGAGCCCCCAAGGATGATTTCAAGACTTGAAAAGAATCTGCAATAGCCATTTCTTTTTATCCTGTAGGTTCCTGCAGGAATAGCCATTGCGTTCCTTACCACCACACGCCCAAGTTCATTACCGACTTCCGGCGACCTTAGGTTCTGCGCTGTGCTCACAGGCACATGGTCTGGTCTTGAAGACAAACATCAATCAATACAGGCCACCAGATAAGGGATACTCTGGGACGGGGGCGGGGGGGTTAGAGGAGCTGTCACAGCAAGACATTTTAGCGGGTTCTCCCGAGAAGAACAGGTGTTTGTCAGGATGGCGAGGGGTGGGCAAAGAGAATAAGGGTTGGAGGTAAAGAAAGAGGAAGCGCAATAAGATGGAAGATGCCGAGTGGTAAACAAGGGGGTGTGAGCGAGAGGATCAGTGTGTGACGCGCCAGGTCGGGTAGCACGTTGAAATTGGTACTGGAGTTCGAATTTATAGCCCGGTCAACCCGGGAAGATGTGATACCTACTGCGCTAACGCACAGGTCACCCTGGCCCGTATTTACAACGTTGGGTTAGCTGGTGCGACACCAGGGAAGGCAGCCGGAAGCTCCTCCGGTGGTGAAGGCGAGGGGAGGGGGTGCTCGTAACAGGGACCCGCAAGTCCGGGTACCCTAGTCTCTGCGAAGCGGCGGCTTTGGGCGGAACCATTCTCCGGAGATGGAAAGGGGAGGAGAAATCCTTCACTATGAACCCAAACCAGCGGAACCCGCGGGAAACACACCCAACTCTTTCTCTCTCTCTTTCTTTACGCAATTCCTCTATTTCTCCACCACTTGTTTCTTTCCTTTGCGATTCCGAGTCCCGGGCACCACTAGTTGCTCCTTAGCTACCCCCTCCTCCAATCGTGGTACAGCCCGGGGGCGCCCGCTCCGGGCACAGGTTATAAAGGCTCGGCTGCGGCAGCGGACTGCGGACTCAAGATGCGCCCCAAAGAGCAGGGACAGGGCTGCGCCGGGGATGGGCCGGGGTCCGGTTCCGGGTCCGGTTCCGGGCCCGGTTCCGGGGACCCAGCAACAGTTACCCCGGCTCCCCCGCCGGTAGCCAGTCCTACTCCAGAGCCCGAGCCCGCCCCCACGCAGGCACCGGGGACTGGACAGGGGACAGGTTCCCGAGCAGCCTCAGGATCCCAATCCGGATCTCGCCCGGCCTCCCAGACTGGAGCCAAGACGGGAGCCCAGCGCCCATCTGGCCAGTCCGTGCCTGACAACTCGGATGCGCCGTGGACCCGCTTTATATTCCAAGGGCCCTATGGTCCCAAGGCCACTGGCCTGGGGACTGGAAAGGCGGCGAGCATCTGGAAGACACCTGCCGCCTACATTGGCAGGCGTCCTGGGGTGTCCGGCCCTGCGCGCGCCGCATTCATTCGAGAACTGGAAGAAGGTAACCTGGGTCCCTGAGATCCCGGAGCGGGTGGGACTAGGACAGCTCCAGGGAGGAGGGGTTCTGTCGGGCCGGGCGCCTCGCCCTCTCTGGTACAGTCTCATCCCTCCATCATCCCCGCGATGTCACTTTCTTCGATGCCTGTCTGGTCGCCCCTTCCTCATCTCCCATCTCTGTGGGTCTCTGGTTTTTGTCAGTGCGTCAGGTCCAGGGCCAGCGCTCCTCCCCGCCCCCTCTTCGCGCCTGTTGCTGCGGCAGATCTGCGCACTCTCAGTGCCCCCTCCCCGTCTACCGCAGTGCCAGCAGAGGGGCGGGGGCTGCGGGAGGGCGCTGCCGGGCGCGCTCTGAGCTTGCGCTGGCCCGCGGGGCTCTCTGGCGGTGGAGAGGTGGGCGGGCGGAGCGGAGCTGAAGGCTTCGGCCACTTCTTTGCTGCCAGGGTCCTGATTGCGCTTTCCTCGGCCGGGGGGCGGGGCCTTGGGCTTCTGCTCCTCCTCTTTGTCCCACCTTCTTCTGGGCTAGGGCAGCCGTCTGCATTGGTTCTAGAGGCTTAGGTGCCTCTCAATCAGTGCTGGAGAAGTCTCCTCATCCTCTCTTCTGCACACGCAACAGGTGTGGGGGTGGGTGACTGCGTATTTTTATGACCCAGGAGGCTCTGGTGAGCTGGATAGGCTGCCTGCTGGGTAAGGGGTGATGAGTCAGTCTTTTGGGGGCAGGAAGGGAGCTCCATCTCCTCACTCCATGACCCTGGGTGTTGAGGGGAGCAGTGAGCTGTGGGTAGCATATGCTACATTCCTGACATGGCGGGGCTTTCTCTCCCCATCCCCACCTTTTGCAGCGCTCTGTCCTAACCTACCTCCAGTCAAGAAGATCACCCAAGAAGATATCAAAGTGATGTTATATTTGCTGGAGGAGGTGGGTACCACCTTCCCCACCCAAAGCCAGCTCCAGACCTTAGCCTGGTGCCCATTTTAATTTTACCCTGTGTGTGGTATGGTTCTGGGTCTTGTCTGTTTCCTGCCTGCCCCCCCTTGGGGGGCGGTCAAGCTGAAGGTCCCTCTCCTGGAAGACATGTAGCTTGGGCCTCTTTTTTCCATAAGGAAAAACTGAGTCAGGCTCCACAGGAGGTTAACGGTACTCTCTGGTTTGGTACCTGGAGAACTAGGGGATGGGGATGGTTTCTCCTAGTGGCCTAGCCTCCTGCTGATGATCCCTTTGTACCCCTAACTTCTTCCAACTGTCTGGGAGGGCTCAGAAACTGGGAAGGTATACCCTATGGGTGGTGGTCCCTCTGCAGAGAGAGCGGGACCTGAATACAGCAGCTCGCATTGGCCAGTCTCTGGTGAAACAGAACAGTGTTTTGATGGAGGAGAACAGCAAGCTGGAAGCCATGCTGGGCTCGGCCAGGGAGGAGGTAACTGGCAGGGGAGGAGGGGGTGGGGGTTGGTCTACACCCTTCTCATGTCAGCACCTGCTCCTGTGTGCCTGTCTACTCCCTGACCCTTGGCTCCTGTCCTCCTGCCAGATTTTACACCTCAGACACCAGGTGAACTTGCGGGATGACCTCCTTCAGCTCTATTCAGACTCTGAGGATGAGGACGAGGATGAAGAAGAGGAGGAGGAAGAAGAGAATGAAGAAGAGGAACATGAAGGAGAGGAAGAGCGAAAGCATGATCATCCCTATGATGCCCGCAAGCCGTGAGCATCTTGCCCTTGCACCTGGGCGTTCCTTCCCTTTTCTGAGCCTCTTGGTTCCTTGGTAAAGGGGATCACAGGCAGCGTATCTGCTAGCGGGGTTGCTGGGACTCACTGAGACCACATTCTTAGCCCTGGTGTGTAAAGCCCTGGATGAGATGGAAACTGGGAACTCCACTCCTTTGTATCCTGACTCCCATTGCTCTCTCCCCAGGACCCCTCAGGAGGAGTCCCGGCACCACTGCCCACAGCTGGAAGCCCTGCAGAAGAAGCTGAGGATGCTCGAGGAGGAGAACGACCAGCTAAGAGAGGAGGTGAAGACCTGGGAGGAGGGCAGGCCCTGGGCAGTGGGTGATGATGGCCCTGCCCCTTCCTCTCTCCCTCCCTCCAGGCCTCTCAACTGGACACCCTGGAGGATGAGGAGCAGATGCTCATCCTGGAATGTGTGGAGCAGTTTTGTACGTGATTTTGTAACTCGGGTAGGGGGCTGTCTTAAGGAGTGGAGGGAAGAAGCTGGGATTTGGAGTATGGAGACCTGAGTTCAAATCCTGGTTCTGGGTCTTCGTAGCTGTGTAAGCTTGGACAAGTTCCTTGATCTCTCAGAACCTTCATCTTTAGAATGGGGATTAATGATCCCATCCCACTGCCCAGGCTGATCTCCCCAGGGTTTATGACAATCAAGAAAGCAACACCTGAGGATGTGCTTTGTGCAAATTGTAAAGAGTATACCAAAGCCACACGGCTACTTGAAGCCTGTTTCCTTTGTTATTTAGGGGAGCAAGGAGGGAGCCAGGAGCTGCCAGAGACCAGGCACCCAGGGCTGAGCTAGTTCAGAGTCATGTGGGGGTGGGTGGGTGGGTGGCATGCTGGTATCATTCTATGTACTATATTTATGCAGATGAGCAGGCCCAGTGTTTGTTCCCGAGGAGCTCAAGTCTGGTCAATACCTGAGCTCATGCTGTCCTCTCACCCAAGCCTGGCCTTCCTTCTCCCTGGGTTTCACAGCTTCCTGAGTGGCCCCTTGGGTCCCCAAGTTTTGTTGCTTCTACCTCCTATGAATCTCAAGTCTCTTTCCTCCCTGAGATTCTGGCTACATCTATCCCAGGACACTGGTGCTCTTATAGGTCCTTCTGCATACAGCACAAATGAGTTTTCTTGAGTTTCAGGGATTGAACCCAGGGGTGCTTAACCACTGAGCCCCATTATTATTATTATTATTATTATTATTTTGAGACAGGGTCTTGCTAAGTTGCTTAGGGCCTCGCTCAACTGCTGAGATTGGCTTTGAACTTGCAATCCTCCTGCCTCAATTTCCTGAGCTGGCCCAAATGAGTTTTCTAAAATCTGACCATATCAGCCCTTTGCCTAAAACCCCCAAATAGCTTCCTGCTGGACAAAGGATAACCCCACTGCCCTGAACACACCCCTCCACTGTCTGATGATTGGTTCTGAGCCTTTCCACTTTCCGCTTGGACTTGTTTCTTCTTTTCTTTTCCTGGTGGAGCCCTACCTGCCCTGTGGTCTCAGCGTGGTTCTTTCTTCCCAGAATCTTTCCCAGACCTTGCAAGGCTCTGTGGGGTGCACAGCTATGCCCTCTCCCATGTGCCCTTGACATTGCCTCTGTTGTAGCCCATATTATGCATTACGATGAATTCTTTTCCCTAGCTGTCTCCCCAATAGACTTGAGCTCAGTGTGGGCTAGGACCAGGTCTTGTCGACCATGTACCCTGGTGTCTCTGTCACTGTCATAAACATTTATTGACAAGATCTGAGTGAGGAACACCAAGCCCTGTGGGACCCCTTGGCCCTCCAGCGGGGTTGAGGAGCGGGGGACAGACAGGCACAAGGGAGCTGGGGCTGACCTGAACCCCATCCCTAGCCGAGGCCAGCCAGCAGATGGCCGAGCTGTCAGAGGTGCTGGTGCTCAGACTGGAGAACTATGAACGGCAGCAGAAGGAGATTACCCAGCTGCAGGCCCAGATCGCGAAGCTGCAGCAGCGCTGCCAGTCGGTGGGTTGGAGTGTGGGGATCTCCCCAACCTGTCCAGGCCGTGGGACCCTAGTCTCTTTCTCCCTGCCCCTGCCTCATGCAGCACTGGCCTCCACCAGGCCCAACATCTCTGTGTGGGTGTTGGTGCAGATGCCAGAGAACTGCTCATCATGCCCACTCACTGTCCAAGGAGGGGATCACGGCCCTCTCAGAGACTCTCCCAGGCCGCATGACTCCCCTACCTTATATGTCAAGGGCTGCCAAACCCTCCCTGATGTGCCTGATAGAGTGGGGTGGGGTGCATGTGCCTGGCATGGGGAGACCTTGGTGGGGCTCATGGGCTCTGGGTTCTTGCAGTATGGGGCTGAGACTGAGAAGCTGCAGCATCAGCTGGCCTCGGAGAAGGGAGTCCATGTGCACCCCCAGGAAGAGGTGAGGTGCCCCATTCTCTTGCCTACCCTTGAGAGCCCCTAGCCTGAGGCAGAGACCTGAAGCCCTTGGCAGCTGCCTGGCTCTCCTAAGAGGACCAGCAGCTTTCAGGCAGGGACCGGGTCTTGTCCCTTTCTGCTCCCTTCCTTTCTGACCCAACTGGCAGATCACTTGAGGTCTGGGAGGAGCAGGGTGCAAGGACCTGCCCAGGGTCACTCTGTGTGCTTTTCTTTGGATATGGAACCTAGGCCTCATGCCTCTTGGCCTTAGAGTCCCAACACAGCCTCTGGTTGGGTTCCCAACTGCAGGACCTGCGGGAGAAGTATTCGGACTGCGGGGGTGTAGTGTTTGAGCGCCCGGAGGAGGTGAAGACCCTCCGCCAACATGTTGTGGCACGCCCTGGCTCTGTCACCCACTATGCGTACACTGTGCCTCTGGTGAGGACCCTCCTCGACTCTGTATCCGACTACCTCCATGTGCCCTGTGTCTCTGCTCTCAGTCCCTTTCTGTGTCTGAGTGTGGATAGGGGCCCTGGGGGTTGTCTTCTGCCAATGTCCCTCGTCTCCACTGTAGGGGGCAATTCCAAATCTCCCACAGACCCTGGCTGAGGAGCTCAGAACGTCTCTAAGGAGGATCATTTCGGACCCTGCGTATTTTATGGGCAGGTGTGTTGCTGGGACCCCAAACCCTGGCCTGGCCGTGCTCACCCTGGCTTACCAAGTGGGTGAGCTTTCCTGGAGTGGGAGGGTTGGCCCGCACCCTCTGCCCTGGCATGCTTCCCATGGTGCCCCCTGTCTCCCTGGACCACCCAGCCCCCTCCTCTGTTGACATAGTCTGAGATGCATCATTTGTCCCTGGGATTTTTTGGCGTGACTGGGCCCCAGGGACTTTGCAGTTTCAGCTCCATTGCCTCAGTGTGCTGAAGGTCCTTTTCTCTGTTAAGGAATTATGGGATGCCAGCACGGGAAACGTCCAACCTGGGGTAAGCTGGCCATCTCCCATCATCTTACCTGTGAGCAGCTGTCCTTACCTGTCAGCAGCCAGGTAGCCACGTGTAGCTGCTTCTGTGACCCTAGGACTCTAGGGAAGGCCCTGTTCTCTGGGCCCACTGGACTGAGAGTTGTTCTGGGAAGGAGTTGCTCCCTTTTCCTTCAAGTCTTGTCCCTTAGGTGGCTTGAACTTGCAATCCTCCTGCCTCAGTTTCCTGAGATTACAGGTGTGCGCTACTTAAGGCTGCTCTAAGTGGGGACCAAGGCCTTCCCTTCATCTGACCAGGAACTGAGAGGCAGATGACCTGGGATAGAACCATCTGGGACTCAGTCTCTTTCCCATGAGTCCTTGGGCAAGTTACGTGACCTGTCTGAGCCTTTCTACAGTGGATTTGTTCCTATGGCAACTAGCTGGGGGGTGGGCTGTAAATATCCCTGCTGGTCACTTCCTTGTAGCAGGGTAGGGGATATAGGAGAATTTGGGACCGATGCAGAGTTGGTGGCTTTTCTTCTGGAGCAAGGGCTGGGTGTGTGAATCCTTGAAGCTAGTTCCCAGCTCCCCTCTTCTCTGGCTGGGACACACCTTGGGAGGGACCCTCAGTTTCTGTGCAGGCCAGGGCAGGGTCAGGAGAGCTTGTAGAGGAGGGGGGTGGTCCTGCTGGTTGGACTTTGCTCCTCGGCCTCACGGGTGGGAGAGTCCAGGGGGAGTGGAGGAGGGGCCAGTGGTCTATGGAACTATGTCACTGTCTCCCTGCCCAGATATGACCCCCGCTACAGGGAGGAGCGAGAGCAGGAGCAGGAATTCAAGGCTGAGCAGGGCTTGATGCCTGCAGAGAATCTCATGCCGCCTGAGGATTTTGAGCCTGCAGAGGAGTTGGTGCCTGAGGAGGAGCTGGGGGCCATAGAGGAGGTGGGGCCAGCTGAGGAAGGACTGTCGGAAGATGCTGAGCTGGTGTCTGAGGACACTGAGGCCTGGGAGGAGGTGGAGCCCGAGGTGGATGAGGCCACACGGATGAATGTGGTGACCTCAGCCCTGGAGGCCAGCGGCCTGGGCCCTTCTCGCCTGGACATGAAGTATGTCCTCCAGCAACTAGCCAACTGGCAAGATGCCCATTACAGGCGGCAGCTGAGGCAGAAGATGCGCCAGAAAGAAGAGCTCTCCCGCGACGGCCTCCCTCCGACCAGCCGGACCAGCTGCAGATCATCCAGCCGATGAGAGGGGAGGGTAGGCGAGCCTCCCAGTGCTCACTTACCCCACCCCGGCCCCACCCAGCGTGCTGATTTGCATGGACTCTGCATATCATTTGCATAGGTACCTCAGGTCCCCCTCAAGGGGAACTGTGGTCCCGATGCTCGTTTTTGTGGAATCTGCTTAGAAGTCCAGCTTTCCACCCACTTTTCTCCTGCGGGCTGGACTGGGGGTCAGGGCTGGGACTGTGTCCTCCCCCAGTGCTCCTCAGCTTCCTATCTGTCCACCCCTCCCCCACCCTCGGCCCTACCCACTCTGTCCCCAGGGCTCCCCAACCCTGCGGCCGTAGGCCCAGTTGCTCACCCAGGACTGGAGGCTGGAGGAGGACAGGGCCAGCCACCCTCCCAGGGGCTGGGAGGAAAAGGGGCCTTTGGGGCCACTGAGGCAGGCCATTGATATGAAGGCCTTCAGTAGCAAGGGCCACAGCTGGAGAAGTCCCCTGGGTGAGTCTGGAGGTGGACTCGTTTACCTGCAGGGTGGTGGGTGAGTCAGGGTCTCCTCTCCCCAGCTAGAAACCCCACATTTGGGGAGCTGGACCTGCCGATCCAGGGCCTTCTGGGCCCACCTGTAAGGAGTTCTCAAGAGAGATGAAAGGTGGCCTGTGACACTCAGCACACCGAACCCTGCGTTAGCTCCTTCAATCCTCACACCCCTGTAGGCAGGTCTTATTGCCTCACATTTGTTAGGTGAGGAAACTGAGGTTCAGAGAACTAAAGTCACTTGTTCGAGGTCATGCAGCTGGGAGTCAATCTGAGCCTGTTCCCTACTGTGGGCAACGGGATCTGAGCCAACTTCACTGTATCCAGCATCTTTCCTGGTCCATCCCTCCCCACAGAGGAGGTCCTGGTGCCCCACTTGGCCAGGTGGGTCCACCCAGTTTATAACTTGTTGGCAGACTTCCTTCTATCTGGTCTGCCACCCCTCTAATGGCCCTTTGGTCACCAGTAGGCAGAACAGGATTGGCCTCAGCAGGGCCACTGTGTAGAGTTGTGCAGCTTGTAAACGGAATCATGACTTTTGTGACTGTGTAACTATCTGTGGTGGCTTTCTGTCTTCTTCTGATACAGCCGGCCAGCCCCTACCTGCTGCCCATGCCAGGCCGGCGGGGGTCAGGCCCTCGGGTCACATTCTCTCCCTTCTCTCCCAGGCTTTGCTCTTTCCCAGCAGCCTGCAGAGGCCCCTCGTTCCATTGCCAGGCCAAGTTCCACCCACCCCAGGCCCTCCTTCCCCTTTCAAAATGGGATTCCATGTCTGTCACCAGCCTACCAAGCCTTGTTCTGGGACAGGCTGAAGGAACCCCAGCCCTTGTTCTGTGGCTGGTAGAAAAGCCACAAAAGCTGGGCCTGGATCATATGGTGGCCCCAGGGGTGAAGGAAGACCAGAGGGAGGCCGGCCCCCTGCCAGACCCAGCTCTGAGATAGGTGGGACTGAGTTGGGGTGGGGGGCTCGGATCCCAGTTGTGAGAGCACCCTCCTAAACAGGTTGCTCTAAATCCTTTGATCCCCGAATTAAAGGTGGCCCCCAGTTCTTATTGACTTTTAGGGACCTGGCTCTCTTCCCCTGTTCTTCATCCTTTCTTCTCGGTCTTTATTACTGTGTGTAACCAGAAGTGTGCCTGTGTGTGGGTGGGTGAGGGGTCCCTCTACCCAGTGATGTGTCACCCCTACCCCGCCACCACCTGTGTAGCCTGTGAGTGTCCAGATTCCCTGCCCAAGGCCCAGTGCCTCCCTCTTGCCGTCCTCCCCCAGTGCCCCTTGTTTCTTCCTTCTAGTTGTTCTGCCCTTTCCCACCCCTTTGCTCGTAAACAGCTGGGGTCTGGGGCTCAGGACCCCTGTGAGTGCCTGCCCCGCCTCCCACAGCGCTTCTCAGTCTCGTTGCTTGTCAGCCTGTGTTCGTGCCGGTGCAGGAAATAAAGGACCTGTGTGCTACCTGACCAACCTCCGATCTTCTTTCTCAGGGAGCGTGGTGTGCGTGTGTATGTGTGCATCTGTGTGTGTGCGCACGAGCATGTGTGCACCATTTTAAGGAGTAAATTGTGGAGAGAGGACGAACTCTAACGCCGAATGACATGCCCAGGACTTTCATGAAATACAAGGACATACCAACAACCCCGGTGGCATGGGGGGATGTGATAACCATTTGTCAGTTGGTGAAACTGAGGCCTACGCAGGTTCGGTGACCTCCCAAGCCAGGGTCTAACAGCTGATCATGTGCTGGGGTTGAACCCCATCCTTGGAGTTCATGTTGGGGCAGACCACCTTCTCTGGTCCTTTCTGATCCAGGGACTTTGCCCTTGTACCCTGGCTAGGTAAAGTGGGTGAGTCACTTTCTGTTTTAGGCTGAGGTCCCCCAGAAGCAGACCTGGAGAACCAAATAAGTAGCTCATTTGGAAGATGATCCCAGGAAGTACTCTTTGGGGGAGCAGGGAAGTGAGAATAGGAGGAAACGAATGAAAGGGGGTTATATAGGCAACGACACTCAGGACTCCCTGGAACTTGAGGAGGAAGTGTGACCTTGCACAATTCAAAATTGAGACATGTGAACCAGTTTATGTCAAATGCAGAATCTTGTCAGGAATAGTCGAAAGAGGATTGCAAGGCCAGTCCCAGCCCTTGGCCACTTATTGAAGCTCAGCAATTTAGTGAGACCCTGTCTTAATAAATAAATAAATAAATAAGGCTGTGCTTGTTAGCTGTTGGCATTTGGGACACACAGATGTAGAGTCCATCTGTTATCCCACTGAGGATAACGGGGACATGCCTCCTCCAGCTCCCACTCATCCCTGGTCAAGGGCTGCCCCTGCGGCATTAGCATCGCCACTGGCTGTGCTCCTGCAGCCGGGAGGGAAGAGCTCTTGGCAGGGAGTGTCTGGTGTGTAGGAGGACCTGGCCAGCGTGAGCTGCAATGGGGAGTGCCCAGCCAGGGTGTGGGCACTGATAGTGTCTGCTACAGTCCAGTTCTTTTATCATTATGTGAACTTGAGCTCCATGTGGACTTTACTGTGGCCTGGCATTGCTTCTTTAAGATGGTGCCTGTAATCCCAGTGGCTGGGGAGTCTGAGACAGGAGGATTACAAGTTCAAAGCCAGCCTCAGAAAAAGTAAGGTGTTAAGCAACTCAGTGAGACCCTATCTCTAAATAAAATACAAAATAGGGCTGGGGATGTGGCTCAGTGGGCAAGTGCCCCTGAGTGCAATCCCCAGTACCAGGCCTCTTTCTTAGCAGTAGAAGCTACAAGTTTACCCCAGACCACTGAGTCCATAAAAACGTCACCAAGATTCCTGAATAGTAACAGAGTTTATGCTCCTACTTTTGGTATACATGTGTCTTACCAGGGTCACCGGGGTACTTGCCACTTCCTGTTCACTGGGTATAATAAACATGGTGACATCAATTTGTGAACTGCTGTAAGACTCTGCAGATGTTTAGATGATCAAAGCTCTTTGGGACTATATTATGACACAGAGTTAAGAAGGTGAATGTGAATTCAGGCAAGACCTTGAATGTGTACTGTTGTCTCTTCCAACTAAATGAGAGCTCCTTTCTTCCTAATAAGAATTGAAAATAGATTTTCATCAGTCATACCATGTATCAAGTTTGTGTTTATCTGTTCTAGTGGAGATGCCACCCTTGCCACAGCTGCTGTGGCCACAATTCTTTTTTTTTTTTTTTGGTACCAGGGCCACTAAATCACTGAGCCACATCTTCAACCTATTTTGTATTTTATTTAGAGACAGGGTCTCAATGAGTTGCTCAGTGCCTTGCTTTTTGCTGAGGCTGGCTGTGAACTCCTAATCCTCTTGCCTTCGCCTCCTTAGTCACTAGGATTATAGGCATGTTATTTCTTATGGTACTGGGAATTGAACCCAGGGACACTCTACCACTGAGTTACATTCTCGGCCCTTTTTATTTTGGAACAGGGTCTGATTCAGTTGAAGCTAGCCTGGAATTTGAGATTCTCTTGCCTCAGCCTCCAGAGTAGCTGTGATTACATGTGTGGACCACTGCGCCCAGCCAAGTGTCTGGTTTAGTCACTTATTCTTTGTGGTAATGGTGATTGAACCCAGGGCCTTACATATGAAAGGCAAGTGCTCTGCCACTGAGCTACATTCCCGGCCCAAGTTTTTGTTTTTAAGCCACACAATTTGTGGTCTTTTATGGCACAGTTCTAGCAAATTAATACAGTATGGCCACGTGTGGTGGCGCACACCTGTAATCCCAGCAACTCAGGAGGCTGAGACAGGAAGATTATGAATTAAAAACCAGCCTCAACAAAAGCAAGGCGCTAAGCATCTCAAGGAGACTCTGTCTCTAAATAAAATACAAAACAGGGCTGGGATGTGGCTCAGTGGTCGAGTGGTTGAGTAGCCCCTGAGTTCAATCCACAGTACTCCCCCCTGCAAAAAAAAAAAATACAGGACAAATTAATACTCTCTAATGCTTTATGTTTTCCTCATTATGCACATGCCAAGACCTTAGTTTTTTGGTTTAGAAGCTCCAAAAGAAGCAGGGTCAGATTTTTTTTTTTTTTT